TGGGGAATCATGTTTTCCAGACATACACAAGGCGGTGACTGAGCCTTAGCCCCTTCTACACTGGGTGCATCGAACCAATCTTTGAGCCTAGCGCGACCACGATGACCGTGCACTCCGTCTCCCCAAGAAACGACCACCTGTCTCCTGGAGCCAATACAATCGTGGTAGCGGTTTTTTGAAAAGTAGGTGCCTTGTAAACATTCAGATCAAGCGTAGCCACACCGAAGATATCAGTCAACTACCAACACCTGGAACGCCAGCTAATCCACACGTTGTCACACACGGGCACAGATCAAACACAGCGACGATGTAACACCCTTACCACGTCAACCGCATTATTGGTGTAGGTTTGTAAACCGAATCGGAACCAGCGTACTTACCAAGCGCTGCGTTGATGATGATCACATGCTTGGCATATTTGTCTTCTGTTAAATGTTAGCCCCACTTGGCCACGCTGGTTACTAACCAGCCCCGCTTGGCTGAGGCACTCGCGACCGCAATGTGATACAGCGCCATGCGCTCGACCTCGATTGGATAAAATCAATCGGTGACTGTCGCTTCCATACGCGGCCTCTCTTTTTCGCATGCAGTAGCACCTTCTCCTGCACCTGCTCAACCGTCCTCTTGATCAGCTCACACCATTCGCGTCGATCAACTGCTTTTGATTCCCGACCTCTTGAATCAACTTTACTTCGTGATCTATTCACTTTGACCACGTCCTGGTGACGTAATTTCGGTTTTCCTACGTGCCACTTCCCTGCACTAATTGGTTCAGATAATAGCTGCTTGAGTATCCGCGTCGAATCCATACGGCTGATATGTCTGATCCACCTCAGATGCCGCAGCAGGAGTTTGCCGTACAATGCGTATATGCCACTGTGGTCCAACACCTTTGTGTCAACAATTCGGTCACCCCAGCCGATGCGCAGAATCCGTCACCGACGCTGTTAATGAAACCGCCCCATATAGCTGGCATCTTTGCGGTATATTGTCCAGGTTTCGCTGCCGCATAGAAGTACAGACAAGACCATGAACTTGTGTACCATCAGCTTCGTCCCAACGGTAAGCTGGTGATTGTTTCACACACGCTTTTCCAGATTTCCAATTGCGCTAGCTGCCTTCGGTCCACGGATAGGCAGTTCGCTCGTCATCTGAAAGTCGGTTGACATAACGTTTCCTAGGTGACAAAACTTTGTGGTGGCTTCCAAAACGTCGTTTCTAATTCGTATTTGCAGCAAGCCAACGGATTCCACTTCTGATGTAGGCTGAAAAAGACAAACAATTTAGCTTGTGTTGATGGTGAGCCCGAATTTGGCCGCCTTCGAAGCGAGAGTTGTTGTCATATACTTCAACTTATCCGCGCTGTGTGCGAACAACTTATGGTTGTCAGCGAACAGCAACATACGAATGGTTGTCTCACACACCAGGGTTCTCACCCTGAAACGATGGTTCTTCAGCAACCCACCATCAATACGGAGCTGCACACGAACATTGTAACCACAAGCATCATCAAAAGCAAAAAACGTTGTTGCATTGAGGTGGATAGTAAACAACGCACAACCTAAGACGCAGTTTTGCTTCACACAAGCGACAACTGCCAAGTTATCGGCGGTTTGTTCCTTCAGATGTACCCTCGCCCGCATACCACTGTGCAGATATTCAATTAGACTTGCAAACTTACCCAACACCAGCCACAGTACATCGCAGTTCATTGTGTCCAATGCCTTGGTGAATTTAACAAACAGCGATTCCGATGGCTTGTGTCGCTCTCAGCATTTATCCTGCACTTGACGAGCCGTTAACACCTTACCTTTGGTGCTGCGGCCCGAAGGGATTCCACATTGCTCTTCCGCCACGGGCTGTTTAACGACCTGAGTGACCAGGCGATTGAGTAGTATTCGTGCATTCAACTCCCCACATAGCTCAACAAGTTGATAGCACGATAATTCTTGTCACATTTCTTGCTGCCTTTGCGCTTTTACACTTGTAGCGCAGGAGCATCCTTCAAGTCATCCAGCATTTCCCCTTCAGACCATACACATTGTACCAATTGGTGCATGGTATATATCAACGCGGGTCTGCCGTGTTTCCACACTTCTGGCGGTATCCCGTCGACTCCGGCGTGCTTGCTGTTTCGCAGCTGAGCAAGTGCTCTCTACCTGTCTTCTAGTGTCGATGTGTTCGCAAGGCAAACCTTCATCTCTTGTTATTGGAGCCAGGAAACATCCCCTAATTAATAGCTGAATGGTTGTTCAAGCGACAATCAAAGTGCTTTCGCCAGATCTGCATTTTGTCTACAGTCTGTGTGCAGGCAGCACCTGAACTAGCATTGAGTAGCGTTCTCAGCTGCTGTAACATGGATCCATACACCGCCTACAAGTAGTCAAATAATTTCTTATGTTCGCCTTCTCCATTCACCATGCATTTTTGACGCGACGGAGCTCTCGAGCCGATCACTGTTGAAATTTGCGAAGTTGACTCGCCTTCTCTGCATCGGCAGTCATCTACATGTGCAGGGAGCACTGCATTCTACTTCGACACCACTGCATCAATGGATGCACTGTTGTCTTTAAACCAATCGGGCCGCTTTTAGTTTGTTCGCCTGAGCGTTTACTCGGCAGTAGCAGTCACCTGTTGACTGATGTGGTACCACAGGTTGCTCACTATGCCGATAGATCCTTCGTCCAGGCGGTTACCCATCCCACTCTCCCGTTCCATCCTGTTCTCCATAGTACCTAGGGAAAGAACTTTAGATTTGCGCCGATTCACGACAAGTGAGCAATACATGGATTTACTAACTATATGTACAGTTTTCTCCACACCAACTTATGATCAGTTTCACACTCCGCTCCACGAGCTATACGTATCATGCGCACTGCACGCATGTCACGCTGGTGTACGATGACATAGTAGATCAGGTGAGCGTGACTACTCCGTGGATGCGTCTAACTGACTATAACATTCGCACTCAATGCAAATTGTGTGTTCGTGATCATGAGGCGGTGGTTAGCGCACCATGAGAGCACTCTGTCACCGTTACCCTTGGCGGTGCCAATACGATTCGGACTGATTACATCTGTTCACACCGCGGCATCATGCCCAAAATACGCGTTGTAATCACCCATTTGGGATAGCAGGTTGCTCCTCGGCCCAGACCGTGTCACAGAGGGTAACAGCATGTAGCACCGATCTCTTGTTTCATCAGGATAACGTAATAATAAAAGTGGCAAATTTACTTTTTCCACGTTGCAGTCATTGGTCATGGGCTGATGGCAGTCGGTTCTTCCGCCAGCTGTCTATTTTGGAGGTCGGAATGTGGAATTCCAACCCCGTGTTCACGTGGTGCTGTGGTGGCGTTTCCAACCTAGTAGAACGTGTAACCAACACCAGAATCATGCAGCTTGCCTTGGTCAGCGAGCCGTGTCTCTGAGTGTTGCAATCTCGATCCCGTAAAGCGCGATCTCCATCACCATCATTACCGTGCATCACCGGGGACGGCCCTTCGTGTTCCCGTCGAATTGTGTGCGCACGCCCCAGTACCCGATATTGTGCGCTTTGCGCGGTGGCATGCGATTGTGGTGGCGTGCACTCGTACGCGCGGCCATTTGGATTGGAGGAATTATGGGTTAGGTGAAATAGCGACTTAGCGAATATGTGCAGGGGAAGAAGAAAGAACCGAAGCGTCAGCGTTAACATGTTCTCGCTTATCCATTCCGCTGTGTGCGTCAGGTATGGCGACTCTTATATTGCTACCACTGCGCGACGGCTGATGCAGCACGGGATTACCAATTTTGGCGTGATTCGCCGTTTGGGGATTGGACTGCAGGGCGTCCGCACCTGACTGGCGATCGACCTGGGTCTTCCACCAAAACTTACGATAAATTCTACTTCCGAAAGGCAATGGCTTGTGCGCCATGAGTCGGTGAGCCGACTCAAGCTTAATCGTGTGCATGTCCTTAGTTAGAAGAAAGTTGTAACCCAGTTTCCATCCAATAGTCTTGATAGCCGTGCTAGGCTCAAAAAGGAGTTCCATCCAGTGTGCCGTGAACTACGGCTTAGCCACCGCCTTGTGTACGTCTCGTACGCATGATTCCCAATTTAGACAGACAGAAATGGTGCTGCTGCACATGTTAAAGACGTGTGGACCGGCTCCGTTTATGTAACATGGCCCGTAGCCTGAGTTAACGAGCTTGTTTCGCAACCTTGCGGCGCGAGTTCGAATCCCCGTAGGAGTGGGCGCCCTCGCGGTACACTCAGTCCGCGTGCGATTGGTGGTGGTCGCACGGTAGCGATGCGCCGTTACGGCATACATATGACACATTACTATTATACTCATTCACCTCTCTTAGTTTTGTTCCTTCTGGTTTACACTGGATATGGGGTGTGTGGATGGAGCTGTGGGTGGGGCAGCGCAAGCCACCTGTGGTACGTTTGTAGTCGCAGACGTCGTGTGGCTGTCCTATAGAGGCCGGAGTGACAGGCAAATCCAGAACCGAATGCCGCCAATCATATACGGCTCAGAGCCAACCAACCAAGCGGATATCGACTGGAGAATCCAAGAGCTATTTCTGATCGTCGTTAACTTCGAACACGCTCTGATACTGTTACCTATACCCACGTTCTATTTTCAGTTAGCTCCGGGTTCTTTGGTTCGTTTTGAGTTAGTATACCTATATGATAGCTAGTTATATCTTCCTAATTCATGCTTTGATTCTCATGCTAGTTGGTACTCTCCCTCTAGGCTCGTTTCAGACTCGCGTCTTGCCGACACATCCCATTTTCTTCTTTTTACCTCATTCCCTCTAGTCTTATTGATTACCACTAGCCTATTGACGTAATTCCTGGCAGCTAAATGCACTGCATCTCTTTGCACGGATTACAATTGTCTGACAGCTGAACTGAATCTCACTACATGCTGGTTTGCTTTCACCCCAACCTTCAGGATGATATTGCTCATCCTCTGTCACATGTCATTGTCGATTTTTGTCTTTTCCTTTTAGCGCCAGGCCTTGGGTCTCAATCTTACCAAAGTAACTTACAAAACGTTTCTGGACTGGAAGAAAAGGAGGGTACGTTCAGCAGTGTCGGCAAACACCCATTCTTACCTTTAGCGCGCAGAGAAACTTGAACAGTTCCGATCGGCTAAATTGAAGCGTGAATCCGATTTCAAGCAAGGTCGAATAACTGGAGTAAGTAGGTCTTCCGTTTCCTACTTTTTCCAGGCCCTTTAATTGTTCTCAGCTAAGACACCAGCTTTCTTTTTGTTTCTATTCGGTTCTGTTGCTCTGACACACCCATCCATCTCAATTTAGTCAACACATCCTTTTGCCACCCCAAAGTGCATATGGCATGAAATTCGATGTTTGCTTGCCGATGTAACCGAGTGCACTTATTGATCTTGTTTTTTTACGTGTTCTGCCTTCCACCGTTCCTCTATTGCTTCCCTCGCTGGTGCATTGGACGTATAGGACAATTGATGTTGCGTTTCTCCACAGCACCATACAAATGCTTGCAATCTTTAGGAGGAACTTTTGTCCATTGGTTACGATCTACTCGTTTGGTTTCAGAGTGATAACTGCGTCCATCATTTGCTACCATGCTTTTGGTGATTACCCTAGTCCAAGTCTTCTACTTCCACAACTGCTCGCTTCATTGCTCGTCACCCCACGCAATGTACCTCTTATCTCAATTGCTAAAATAGGTCGTCGCTGTGAAAACAAATACCCGTTTCATTTACGGTTTCACTTATTATCTTTAAAAATATACCTGGGTGAACCGGGTACTAGGACTTCTGTGGTTTCCAGCCTCCGGGTTCCCCAAGCTGATCAACCACTTTGTCTGCGATTAGCTATTTTACGATTTGATTTTCGATGATATAACTTGTTGAAAGACCCCCCTTTGCGTGGGTCACGCATTCTCGAAAATTCGTTGCCTGTTGTTTAACTCTGATGTGTCCGATTTCGGCTAACGGGGTGTTGAGTTTGCTTTCAATATGATCTTAATCACTTTCCCTTTGCATGGACACCGCAAGTACTTGCGGAGTCAGCCGTATGTTTGCCACTAAGGGATCACGTCCCTACACTACTTTTGCCCACACACGGTGAAAAGCCATAGGTGATAGCTTGACTTGTTTCAATCCACCCCATCCTACTTATTTGATTCTGCTGAATTAAGCCGAAACACCAGGACCTTTCACGACCGCCGGATCAGTCACTACCAACTTGTTGGGTTTCTGGATTACCCTCTGTGTATAGACTGTAACACACGGCCTTAATTTCTGCCACAAGTTACTTTATCTTCGTCACTAGGTCAAGTACATGGATATAGGGTTTTGCTCGCTCGTGGCACTGTACTTTGCATTACCCTTCATCCTTCTTTGAACCGCTCGGCTAGATAGCCTGGAGGCAGTGTACACCAATAAAAGCTATCTATCATTACTTGACCACTAAAAATTTGCGCAAAGCGCTTTCTTGACAGTTAAACAACCATTGCCATTGTTACAGCTGATGATGATGAACCGGGCCGTGGAATTCAACAGGTAGTCCGGGTAGTGAGTACTGAGGGCAGAGGATACGTTTACTTGCATTAATGGAACCTGGATTCAACGATCGTGTGCGTGCTAATTATTTGCAACAGTCTATAAATAAGCGTGAAGCCATCAAAAATCATGGAAATATAAGAAAAGGGAAAACGCTTATCATGTGAAAATTCACCACATCTTGTAATACTGCCGCCGAACTATTTGCTGTAGGGATGATACGACTCTCAAGATCGGGCACGAGTTTGTAAAGCATTACCTTAGAAGCGGTATCATCGCGAGGAGACTGGGCGTTAAACATGGTGCGATAGTTTTCGTACCTCTGTGACCAATTGGACTGCACTGGGTGGCTAGTCGGTACCTTCAGACGCACTCATACAAGACAGGTCAATGGCTATGAATCAGCCTAATTAAGGCTCATATCCAAATCCTCATCATAGCGTAGAGAGAGGTCGATGACTCTACCCTGGGAGACAACAGGTCTACGGGTTCTAAGCTCACAGCTCGATTGACGTAGAGCACGAGCGCCACCCATTGTTTCTGATGGTAGGAGGGCACCTTCCGATGCTCAGTGGTTTGCTGACGCCCTCCTCAAGCCAGGCACCTCCTGGTCAAATTGGTACCTATACGCCAACTTGCGGCTGGCCGTGGTCACAGGTGCGTAACACACTGCAGTCGTAAAACACACGTGCATTGTTCTAGGTCTGTGTGGTAGGCCCCCAACGGATTCTAGCGGTTCTCTGCGGCACATTTTTCTGCTGGACTTGCTCCCCACTGTTTCATGGATCAGACTATTGAGCTAATGGTTCCGAGTGGAGTCCCTCAAGCGAACCTGCAAATCCCCCCACTACCTTGTGGGTCGAACAAATCCGCTCTCTTAATAGGCACTCTTAGAGTATCGTCTGCCCACTCGATCACCTCGACGATGTTCCCTCTTCTTCTTGTTGTTGTCTTTCTCTCTACCAAACTTTCTTCGTCTATTGGGCAAGAGACTGCCGCTGACATCGCAGATTCTACCATTGGTACAAGTAACTCGTTCATCAAACTAAGTCTCATGTCACATTGGTTCTTTTAACGTCCACACTCCTTCAGATCGACCAGCAAGTAGCACTAATTCTCACTTTTCACTCTCCTGATGTTGATGTATGCTGTGTCTCCGAAATACACATACAAGATAACAGCGTTGTGACGAATTTTCGACTCTCTGGTTCTGAATCTGACGACGATGACTACACTCTTCGCATCTCTAGCAACACGGGATCAAGACTCAAGTTATTTACGGTGTTCCTATCGCCCTCAGAAAACATGCTGGAAGCAACCTAATTGACTGAATGCCGACGAACAGCTGCGTGTGTGCGATTGGACTTCGAATCTCTATCGGGGCTAAAAAGCACTGTATGAAGACAAGGTGGATTTTCATCGTCTCCGTTTATGCCCCTATTGACTGAAGTTCAGAGGGTATCTTTCATATCTTCTCCGTATGGTGAAAAAACTGATATCATGACAGCTGTGACAATTTGAATGGCCAAGTGAGCCGTCTTTCGGCTTCTGGACAACAGCTAGGAGACCGCTTCGAAGGCGATTTACGCCGAACAGACAATGGTGTTCGATTCCTGTAGATGAGCTCGTCCACATTCTTTATTTTGACGACACTGCTTTCCAGCACGAACATTCACACCGCGTCACCCGCCGCCCACCGAATTCCTCAATGACGTGAACTTAGATTGACCATATTACCATCAGCTGCAAATGGCGCACATCAGTCCAAGACTGTATGTCAATTTGGAGCATGTGTGTGTTTCCTGATCATGCACTATTGCGCGCACGCCTGGAACTCCCTCCTCCCGCTTCACGGAAGCGTCGAGGTTATAACCTTCTTACTTGTTATTTGAACTTACAGTGTGCAGTCAAACCATATTATAACAAACTGGTCCACCACTTGAATGAAATTGAATGAAGTTGGTGAGCTCAAGTCTGACGCGAATCGTCTGGATTGCACCATAATGAATGCTTTTGACGCATGCAGCGCGCCCAGCTAGCAATTTGAATGAATCCCTCACATATCGGTAAGTTTGATCGAAGCACGAGAACAGGTCCCAATGGGTACTGACTTTAAGCTTGTCCGTAACGCACTGAAACGACCACTTACGAGGAGCCATCGATTTGACTTGTAACCTTGTTGGTTTTCAAAGGCCCGTGAGATAAAGAAAGACCGTGTTATTGGGAATATCCAGGTGCCGTTCCAGCTCATCCGGAACACAGGTCCGAGAAAGTCATCGGTTAGTGAGACAACAGCGAAGCCGCTAAGTAGCCTGTCGATGATGTGGTATAAAAGCATGATGAAGCTGACCGAGAGACTTGGTTAAGGCTGGTGCATGCCGTCTTGATAGATGGGGACCCCGAGATGGTCCACACCAATATTTGGAGACCCTATCAAACAGGGCACGGTTGCGTACTCAGTGGCGTTCCCGCACTCGTTTCCTATCATCCAACTGTTAATTTTCATTCCATTTTCATTCCATTTCCATTAGATTTGCGCTTTTCTATCCTGACGTCATTTTCTTTGCATTATATTTGCTTTCAACTTCATTTCATTACCGTTGTTATTTATCTGATGACGTGAGTCATGGCAACTGGATCTACCACACTTCGTTTTATAGTTGTTTAACTGGACTGAACTTTGCGTGTGATGTTATACATGGAACCTCTGCGAATGTGACACGATATAACAAGGGACAATTGAAACCTGTACTTCAAATGCTAATGAGCTTGCATGTTCATCAGTTCATCTTCGTAGTTGCTTGTTTCAGCTTATCCACCCATAGAGACCATGATTAGACGATGCAGATCTGGAGAGACTCTGCATACGACCTACTTACACTTGAAAAGCACAATGAGATGTTTGCTGATGCATGCACTTTTTCTTGTCTCATCAATACCGTTAAGGATATGTCACAATCATTTATATTCGGTACTGGATGCGGCGAACATTGAACAATGATTTATACCGGGTAAAAAAACAGTTGCTTGCCAAGTCCCGCAGAATGGTGGGGGTAAAACTACCATATTAAAAGATATGCCAGTTATCGGTTTGAGCGTTTATCTAGTAGCTACGCCGCTGAATAATAAGTGGAAATTGAATGCGAGCGAGGGGGCAACATGGGGGCAGTTATAGTTGATGTACTCCGTGAGAAAAGTAAAAACACGAATACTTCTGTACCGCTTCCTCTGGTTTATGTGAAATATTAATCCGGCTTGAAGGGCTAGTTAACATATTCCAAAATAGCACATATTAGGCAACGAAGTGTTGAGGACTAAGCGCAAGATCCAATCATCTTTTGAAAATTTTCATGGTGGGGTAGGAAACGACTAAGTTTGGGAGAGTTCCACGGTTTGCAAACCCGAAGAGAAAAATAATTCCGCCGGCATACTGTTCACTGAATTTCAGAGGGTTACCTCTGAGTTTCATCAAGGGACGGCATACGTGATTATTATCACTCAATAATTGGTAGGGGCCCCTGAAAACTCTCAGTTATCAGCCTTTGATGATAGGACAGATTTCGTAGGCCCTTGAGGTTCTTTGCGGCCCTGTCTTGTGGTTTCTCTAGCACTTCTAAGTCGCGCTTCAACCAAGGTTGTCAAGCTTGAATG